TATAGCACACACACTCTGCAAGAAAAATAAAATAACCCTTTTTTTTTCTTAAAAAAAACCCGCCGCGATCATGTGGCCCAGCCTTCTGAGAGCCGCACTCTTTTGACCGAGGGGCTTTCTCTTTCGTCCGGGGAGGGCCTGACGAGTCCCAGGGGCGAGTGGAAATCGTTCCTGTGCTCCTCCCGGTCGCTGCCCTCGTAAGAGCTGCTGCAGCTGCTCAGACTGTCAACGGGAGACCTCCCCGAGTCTTGGCGGGAGTGTTGCTGGGGGTACCCCGATGGCGTGGCGGTGCGGTCTCTAGGAGGAGAAACAGGTTCTGACTTGATGTGGAGGCTTTGAGCAGAAGGCAGGGAGAGATTTGTACTCTGAGATAAGTGAGTGCTAGTGCAATTTCTGTAGGAGGAAAGGAAACCCAGTTACAGAATGAGGAGCCCGAACAGCCCACTTTACTCCCCACACACATACACACACATGCATGGCGCCCCCTTGTGGACAGCCGGTTCACTTACAGCACTCCCCCCCCCCATTGACGAACCACAGTTCAAATGAGCCCATTGAAAACACTACTACAGCTGCAGGGCATTGCACATACAGTCACGTGCAGCACTGTGCATGTCAAGCAAGTGTTGAGAAATACATCTACCCCCCTGACAGGGTCCTTAAGACCGCCTGCGTAAGCCTTTTCTCCTGATGAAAACGCGGAAGACCCACGCTCTTTCTGTTGGCTGCTCATGACTTTCGGATGTGACCAAAAATGACTGTTCTCTGGACACAGTAAAAAAGCGTCTCCAGTTGTTCTCCATTGAACAACTGTGATTATTTACTGACAGACACGCTATAAAATCAGTGCCTGGACCATTCGATATGGTTTTACGACACGTTTTACACCATTTAGAAATGAAGAAAGAATCTTTCTGATGCTAAAATAAAACAGAATTGAAAATGATTTGCAATAGAAGATCCGTCATGGAAAATTGTCAAATGTGGTAGGAGTTTGTTTGATGTAATCTATACATTCTTCAAGCCTTTCCAAGACAAAGATTTAGCAGTGGTTTGAAAAAGAAACCTCTTGCTGGCATGCACCACTTGCACATGGTCTCAAAGGAATTATATTTCTGACAAATCTGCTGTAATTTCTAAAAGGAAGCTATATGGAGACTTATATACATTATGGTAGGCTAATAAGAAACAGATGATAGTGTGTATTGCACCCAGACACAAGACTGAAGTAATTTACCATTTTCTGTGTGTCCTTCATTCGGTTAACCAGCTTGCCATTCTCTGTTTTTGTTTGTCATTAAGAACAAAAAAGCTTTTGTGAGGGCAGGCCTAGATGCATCAGCTAAACTCATTAAGGGTAAACGTCTGAGTTTACCCATAATCCTCTCTGACCACTGAACATACAGTACACGATCACTGCAGAACCTGACAGACCTTGAATTTATAAGGGAAGCAACACCCAGAAGAAACCAGACGAAAGTAACCACAACAACGTGAGACTCAACAACAAGGGGGGCGATGAGGGAGTGGATAAGCTGCTCTTCAGAAGCGATGTTAACGAACCCCCTTTGTAAGTGTCGGCACAGTAATGAGACACATCTGAAAATCAGTAACTAGATTCAAAGTCTGAAAACATATTTCTGGGTGATAAGCTAACAGAAATCTGGAAATCTTTGTGATAACAGCAAATGCCCATTTTCCAACTTGTCTGTTATAATGTGTATTGTTGCATATTTGGAGAACTCAAAGAAAATCTCAGTCTTTGTTTTTAAAAATGCCCTATTGTCTCCGGCACTTTTGGCATGGTGCAGGTCTACCCTGAGCTCTCCTGCCCTTTAATCAGTGAGGCGAGCAGTGTTCCCGATACTCACCCTAACTGGCTGAGGGCTGAGTGCTGCATATTCTGCAGGTGCTGCTGCTGCCAGCCTGTCACTGAGCCCAAATGAAGGGCGCTGGCACTGTTGAAACCAGACAGCGATGATAGGTCTGCACTGCTCAGGGAATATTCTGCAAGAGCATGGGGAGAGAGGCCATGTTAATCATTCCTTATGTCACTTTTCTCAGGAAAACCTTCACACCCTGCATCAGGAAGTCAAACATCTATACTGACATTGAAGTCTGAAAACTGTTCTTGTGGAAACACAAGCTATACAGGACAGGAACAAGACTGTGCTGACAAATGCAAATTGCACCATCTGCTGGTATAAACGTATCACTGCACTCAGCTCAATTGCTCTAACGGGTCCAACAAGGCGATCAATTATTAGTTTGAGCAGTTCCCAATTCCCCATTCTTCTTAAATGTTAGAGCAGAAAAGAAACGCATAACTAAAGAAATATATAAGAAATTAGTTAAGGCGAAGAAGATAACATCACGCAACATTATTCAAGACTGACAAATCTACAACTGAGACACTCCAATTAAACAATTTACTTTTATTTCCACAAGACACTAAAATCTACAACTGTCTTGTGCATATTTGCCACACACAAATAGAAAGTATTGTGTAAACGTAATTGAAATGGACAACAACGTTATTGTGTGAATTGGTGCCGTGCTGCTTCCTGCTTTGACCTTGCGGCCTCCTGAACGCCATGGAAGAGGATCCAGGCTGTGGTGGGTTTGCAATCAGGGCTTTCAAAGCTCTGGCCTCTGCTTGGAAAGGGCAGAACAGTGCTCCTGAGGAAAGGGAGGTAACATGAGGCTCAGGTACACAGGCACACTGTCCCATGTAACAATGCCGTTGAAGGAAATCGGTATCTTATTTTCTTCTTTTTTTACGGGCTGATCTACAAGCTGTGTGCCACCCACTTTCCGGAGATGGTGTTTTTTTTCTTTTGTTTTTGGTCTTTGCAATGTTCACTGTGAAAGATCTACAGGCCAGCTCGTGGCAGGAAAGGGCGGAGCTGGGTTCAGTGTGTGATGGTCTTTCCAACAGCGACAGGTATTCCTTACCAGTACCATATGTGGTAGAAATGGCTGATGGGTACCCTCCCATTCCTTGTCCTGGCAGAGTCGGTGTTGCTACAGAAACCACTGGAGTAGCCAACGACTGTGCAGACTGCGAGTTATTTATTCTCTGGTTCTGAAATGAAAGAAAGGGACATGATCGTAAATTAAGCTGAGGGCAAAACACATTTTGTTTTTAGGCACTAAAAGAATCAACAGGATGCAAATTTTTAAGATTAATCATTTAACATGTGGCTCCTCTGAACTCTGGCAACCCTATCATTTACAACCCTACAGAAGACTAGCTGTTGCCATAGAAACCCATTACATCATGGTCTCCTTGGCAACAGCACCAGTAACAAGTAAAAGGGCTGCTTTATTGTGGTAGGAAGCATACAGAATGGAAATATGATGAAATATGCATGTCTAGCTTGTGTTTTATACTGTTTTGTTTATTCACACTCAAAACCTTTTTTAAGTACACTACAGCAAGCAGGCAGGGAGAAAAAATAAACATATAGTCTTGATATTTTGATCACTACAGCGATAATTGCAATCCAGTGTAGTTATTTTAAAAAACCGCTAGGTGGTGCTCAAACCACTGTCATTAGTCTTTTGTCCTTAAAACTATAAAATAGACGCAATAGATCATGAGACTCATATTTAGCCTTGTTTTAAGAGTACAGCCAGAATTGATTGAATTTCCCAGTTGTTAGCTCTTTATGCCTTAATGAAGGATGAGGATGGTATATATATATGTGTGCTGATTTTTTTTAAGAAACAGTAATCCCACTTACCAGTAGGAGATCAACATCCTCAGACTGTTGGCATTGAGATGAGGCAATAAGTAAGAATTAGTCGCAGTGTATATGCTGAAGGGGAAGGCTCTTAATTCTAATTTTTGAATGGTGAATATTGCAAACACCTCAGAAATGCCTGTCCCCACAAGCCACAATCCAACATGTTTTCTAAGTCTGTCTTTACGCTACCTAGAAGTAACCTCAAACCTAGGAGAGGAGTTAATCTGGTCTAAAAAGGTTTTAGGTAAGTTTACTCCAACGGTCTAAATCTACTGACATTTTACAGACCAAGCAAACCTGCTGGACTGCTCAATGTCCAAGACTGGGGACTCTTGACAGTTGTTTAAGTGAACAGCAGCCTGGTTATGCATGCCACAAATACCAAAATATTTTTTTTCTAAAATACTCCTACTCCTACTCCAGGCACAATTTAAAAGCAGTTTTTTTTCTGTTTCGCTAACAGGGAGGCATTTGGGTCTCTCGCGTTCCTAACACCTTCGCAAAGGCATTACAAGGCCGTCACGCCTGGGGACGGCTGTTCACTCAGCTAATGGCCACAGGCTTGGAGAACAACAGTGGCTTCGTATTTTAGTAACTGCCATGGTCAGGTTGTTGAGGTGGAGGCAGGGGAGGACACGGAGGAGCGGGGTGCGAACTGTCCAGCGGAAGGCGGCTCTTACAATCGAGGGCATGGTGTTCTTGGAGCCCGGCGGGATGAGCACGCGGAGGTCGGGCTTGCGGTTGTTCATTCCCAGGTTCATGGGCGGTGGAGACTTCGCCTGCATATTCTTGTTCATGTTCCCAGGTGAGACCAGCAAACCTGGCGAGTTGCGGTGGTTGCCGTAACCGTTTCCTGTTGGGGCGACACGAGAAAAAGCCCAGAATCATCGGGCTGCACTAGCAAGGGCACGGCCTACTGCTGCGGCTCATCCTCAAGAACCCCAGCGCGCCTGGAGTGCAGTGACACGCGGCAGCACCAGCGCACACCAGCCACGAGGTCTTTACCAAACCAGCAGCCCAGACATTGGTTTCATTCCCAGGTGTCCAGAAAGTGACAGCACTTCCTACAGGGGTCCCAGTTCAGCTGGCCACTGGCTTCTGGTTATTCTGGTCCAGAGCGAAGGCCACCCCTTACTGGACCACCAACACAACTTAAAGCAGCAACTGAGACTTTCCCTGGAGGTCTCCCGTCCTGTGCTGACCAGGCCTCAGTGTAGCTTAACGTCTGAGATTGGACAAAAGCAGGCCGCTAGGTGGTGATGCTGCTGACAAGGAGCTAATGATCCTGTCAGGGTTAGAGTACGACACGCCCTGCCCCCTCACCAGTTTTTACCTGGACGGAAGTGACTTGAATTACTGCACTCCGAAACAACTTATTCTGGAAATGATCTAAGATTGTAACCGCTTGGATTATGACTTTTACCTCTGCCACACCACACAGAAGAGCAACATTCCTTGCAAAACGCTCTGACAGTTACAGAAAGTGTTACAGGAGCTGAGCAGTTCATGATGGAGCAAACTGTCTCGCAGAACAAATAAATTAAAGAAAAGTATTTAATTAGAATCTTTATTCCTGCTTAGGCAGCACAACAGCCCAAACAGTCTGATTTTTCATTCATTCATGTACTTATTGTTTATTTTTACTTCATCCTCTTAGACAAAAAAAATACCTCAACTTCACAAAGCAGGTGAAGAAGTCGCACATCGGTAATTGAAGAAGACCTACAAAGCTCTGTGGTTTGGCAGGGCTGGATTACAGAATCCACATCAATAGAAGAATCAAGCAAATGAGAAAAAAGGCATCTGCCCAATTTTGACAGCTTTTTCTGCAAAAAGGGAAGTACAGCTCACACTGTAAATGTGCTGTGGTACTGATATGGTATGTGTCTTCCAATGTGTGAAAATGAAGCTTATATTGCAGTCTATAAACTATCTTTAGAACATTTAAATTATCACTGAAGCCCCAGTAAAGAGTCTCATTTGTCCCTAGTGTGGTTTGTGAACAGGTGTTTGGCGATAAGAAAGATACACAGGTTCTAAGATTTTTCTAATACCAGGTCAAATTTGACATGTGCCAAAAACTGTGCTGCTAGACGCCATTTGAAATAACAAAACACATGCATAACCTCCACTCTGTCAGTTGCTCTTTTCTATATATCTCACTCTGTGAACACTCTGTGAACTCTGCGAATAATGAATACATGTTCCGTACTTTCAGAGCACGCCAGGGATCAACACGAGCAGTTTCAGAGTGGATCTCCCTGATGCATTGCTGCGTCAAAGTGAGACTGACTTTGGAAATGAGTCATAAATGCTTGCTTACCCCTGCATGATTCACTGTATGAACGCCAGACATGACAGGTGCTCATTTTTATCTGGCTGGGGTATGCACATAATCAACTCAGATATACATTCTCCTTACTATGTCGTTTCCCTGGCATTGCAACACCTGTTTTAGATATGTCAAATTAAGGGAATTCAAACCGATCTAGTTGAAGTCATTACTTGGAAAAGAATGATAAGTACACGTCTATGGTTTACTGAAACAAAGAGCTTGCATTAAATCCAACAGAAATCAGAAAACCGTTTTTCCTCTGAAACCAAGTTTATTTTAGCTACAGCCAGAGGTGCAGAAATCCTACTATCATTCATGATGTATATATACTGTGTTTTCTCTTAGCCAACATTCAGATTTTTGAGGGACTAAATGCAAACACGCTATACTGCACTTCCCACTTAAAAGGGAGGGAAGAATTATATGTTAGACATAAATGAAGTTCCTAATCATATACTCTGAACAGATGAAATGCAGCTGCCGTCCACAGTAATTCTTCATTATTTAATGTCAAGGCATGGTTTTGTTTTTAAATGAAAGTCTTGAAGGCACAATTTGTACAATCAAAGAATATGTGGGGTTTCTAGCAGTAAATTAAATGAAGCACCATAATTGTCAAAACATATATTGTATATATATGCGTATGGTTGGTGTGCTAAAGGGATTCATATTGCCAGCACTTCAGTGCTTTGGTATTTGCTTTTGCAATGGCTCCAGCCCGTCAGACAGAGTGCAGATCTGCAAATCTGCAAAGTATATTTTGCAAAAGGGAAAACTGTTTCTGTTGAAATGATTTAAAACTTACTCAGTGAATGCTGAAATTCATGACTCGCCATCTTTAACCAAAGAAATGCAGAACCAGACCTTTACAATGGTCAGGCATTTATAGCATGTGAAGTCACTTAATAGTACTATTTTCTAACAAACTAACATAGAAGCTTGTAATCATTTATTAACCTGATATTCTAATTTTGTAGGTACAGGTTCAGGAATTGTGAGATGACCGATACCTGCTTAATTCAGAAATAGCCCTGAGAAACAACCTCGAAGATAAGCTATGTGCATCTTTAAAGATTGAGACATTTTTGTTGTCCTAATGATGAAGGACCCTTAACTTTTACTGTATTACTTTACAGCATATGACACTGGTTTTCACCTAAAAAACATTTCTATGAACACTACACTGGCACTCTACACTGGTCCTCTATGTCTTGGTAAGCTTGGCATTTTCATGTATGTCTGACTAGTTTTCAGAAAGCTTATAAAACCCAACTATACTCTACGAACTCTGCTGTGGCCATATGCCACTCAGATCGCTCACTCTCTCACCTGCTGGAATAAAAAAGGCCGTATCCATGGAAACCAAGTGTTGCCCACTGCATTACTTTAATATTGACTCTTAGATCACAAATATCATTCGGATGCACTTTAAAAATCTGAACTAATGTCCGTGAAACCTACATCAAACGCTCCCTTGCCGTGTGGGAACTCAATTACAAGACCCGAAAAGCAAATGACTGGGGCAATTAAGTAACACTCTGGATTTTTAAAATTGCACTTTAAAAACACAAACCAGGAGGAATTCTGCAGCTAGTGGAGTGATACTAAGCCTTTAAAAACTGTACCTGTAAAGTTTCAAGCAGGAGCTGCGCCGCTACATTAACACATCAGCAAGTCAAGAAGACGACGTTTTCTAAAATATGACAAGTGGAATGGGAAATGAGATAAAGGTCCCGTCACCATGTGAAGCATCAGGCTGTGGCTGTCCTAGACATACACTGCTATTTCATGGGCCACTGTCTAGTTATCATCTCCTTCAGCTTGACCGAAGGAAGATGTGCTCTTGAAGATACGGTCACTTTGCTCCAGACAATTTATCTTTATTTATTCGGACAATGGAGTGTCATCACGATCACCATTGGTGGGACTGCTGTGTGTGGGCACCGTACTGCACAGCCTTATGACACACTGTATCATACAGACACACAGTGATCAAAACTGAAAACAACTGGCTCACTTACTTTTTACTTTTAAGCAATGTCAAAGATTACTGCTGATATTGTACGGCAAAACCCTGTATAATCCACTTGCAGTGTGCACGTCCAATATTTCTAGAACAAACGTACGTCTTTGTCTTCAATGCATTCTTTTTTTTTGCACACAGGCCAGGTGTGGTTTTGACTGTACATTTTCCTTCTGCTGTACAATCTAATTTCCGATATTTTTCTTTGTGGTCTAACAGACCTTTTCTATCCCGTTCTCCATTCACACTTACTTCTGTTAAACTTGCCAGTTCTCAAGTTCTCCAGTCTGCAAACTGAATTTGTGCAGTTTTTACAGAAATAGCTGTAACTGCAAAATGCTGACTGCTGCTATTGACAGCAATGTTGATTCTCTTCACAAGTGCCTGATCTAGAGTGCTCAAAATCACCATCTCCACATAAATAAAATAGTATTTGTACTTTTAAATATTTAGTAATTTATATATTGCAAAAGTTTTATGATCTTTTGTATCTATTTTATGTAAGAAAATACACAAATGAAATCCGAATTTTGCATTTTTATAATGGATCAATTTTCCTTTCCAAAAAAACAGCATAAACATTTAAAAATATCTGCATATACTGAGATTTAAAAACTATAAAAACACGGCAATTTAACTATTATTTTAAAGCTGCTGCCTTAACTTTGTGATAAAATATATTTGTTGTTTTTTTCAGAGTACCAACTTTAATCTAGATGTGGATTGATAAAACATAATGAATTATGGGTATGAATATTAATTATCTCTTTGTCCAATCAATCAAGAAAGTCAAAGCCGTAAGTTTGTTACTAGTTTGACTGGATCCATATTGACGCCCATAATTCACTGTAACTGCTTTCTTTGACACTCTAACCCTCACTCACTCCTGAAAGGATCTTCATGCTACAGAATTAATATAATTATTTCTTAAGGCATTCATTTATTTTAGAAAACACAGACCAGCTTATAAAATAACATTGAGAGCCTATGTCTAAATGTAGAGAATAACCCCATTCTGCTGTCCAGCTGTGGGATGTCCTTCAGCCCATAACACAGAAACATTGGGTTGTTCCTTGTAATAGCACACAGCTCTGATCACCCTGTCTAAATACTACCTGTGCTGCAACGTGACAGTTAACTCCCTAAATTTACTGAAATGATAGACGCACAATAAATAGATTTTAGAAGGTTTAGCAGCTACAGACATTTACAGAAGAAGGTCATTCCTGCAGCGATGATTGCATTTTACCCACTTCTTCCTGACCTGGAAGATGTGAAAAGAGTGTATTACATAGCGTTAGCAGGCCTCTGCTCAGAACTCGTGTCAGAGGAGATGAACAGCAGTTTCATCCCTCTCTAAAAGCTACACCACCGTGCTGACCCGCGAAAAAACGCGAGAAGCTTCATTTCAACAGCAGTCCGTCAGACTACACTGACAACAGGCTGAGATTTTTGGAATGGTCAAAATAATTGTCACCCCTTTCTCACAGCTGCTTTTAGCCTGTACCAGCTGATCTGTAAAAGCTGCTTGTATAAGGACTCCTAGCTCACCCCGGCCTGGGCTTTGCTGCTAAAACAAACAAGGGGACAACAGGTGGGGTGAGTTCCTGTAGCGTCTCTGTTCGACCGGCTCACAAATCACTTGGACTCACAGACACACTCCTGTCACAGAGTCATTTCAGCTTTCCTCTCGGCAAAGGATCTGTGATGATTAGAACAGGCCACCTTCATCATAAAGACCTCTGGGAAATAATTGTCGCGGACGGAATTAGCACCCTACCTTCAGAAGGTATGGGAAATGCGCGCTTTGCACTGCTAGCTGACAGAGGCAGCTGCAGCTCCAGTATGTGACATTTTAGTAAGAGCTGCATGGTTAAGAGCAGTATCTCCTTACCATTTCTATTTAGAGCTGTGCATGAGTACCAGCAGCTGCATTATAAACGTCATGTCTGTAAAACAAATTCCTTGTTCTATGATCCCTATTTAATTTGAATAAAAAATAATTGAAAAAAATGTTGATATATGATATAAAAAAAACTTTTGAGAAAAAGACCTGCCTTGTATGGCTCCTGGAGACCAAATACATTTATTTATTCAACTTCTATACTTTTGTATGGACCTGAGATGCACTCATTCATTTTCACTCAGTGATTCACATGTCTCTTTCACACTCTTGATTATTCAGAAGTCGAAGGATTGTAGCTTGGGGATTAAAAGAAGAGCAAAAAAGAAATTTCAGAAAAGGGTCATATGGACACTCAAAGCACAGAAAACGTACTGTAATTTGTTCATTCTATGTTTGCTACCTAATGCACAAAAGAAGTCCTCACAACAGTGCTGCTGGGCTTCTGGATGTCACATAATGAATTCGTACCTGTAGGTAAAAGTACAGTAATACCACTGTTCCTGAGCTAGAAGCTAACCATAATGTACCTTGAAAATCAACATTGAGAATGTCAATCCTTCTTGTTGTTTAGAAAAAAAGGCATAAATATGACAAGCTTGCTAAAATTTATTTCAGTCTTGGGCTACTGTACATAGCTGCACATTCACGGTCAAAATGTGGGTGGCTTCAGAAACTATTACTCAAAGTTAATAAACTCACAAAACATGTTGACTGGCTCCATGTTATAAAATATGACTTGGTCCAACATGTCTGTTCCACTTTGCTGACTTTCTCATGAGCCTCATGCTGAATAGGGTTCAGCGTTCTCCCAGTATTAAACTTGACAAAGTTTCGCATCCACATCAAATATAAACTTGAAAGGAGTGTGACTGCACTCTGAATGCTTGACACTGGAATCAATGTGCATGGAGTCTAAGTTATCATGAGTAAATCAGCACATGAAAACAGTCCAAGAAACAGAAGCATATAAACCTAGCTATTCAAGAGCCTTGTTAAATTTTCTTATCAAACATCTAGATTGTTATTCATATCACAATAATGCCTGTTATTCTGATATGAAATCAGCTGTTTCTGGACAACTGCATTACAATATATGGATAAGTACTACAGACACCTCCTTCAACCATTTTCACTTCATCTTTCCCAATATATGGGGCTACTTCACAAAGGTCACACTCAGACCTATATCAGTGGCTGGGAGAGTGTTATACATTTGAAACTAGGGAGAAACCTGTAGACCACTGTGAAATAGTATTTATTGCAAGAATGGTTTAATGATCGGTGTAGCAGTTTAATTTGCTTTGTTGGGCTGAGGCTCTGGTCTGCCTGCTAGTTCCACCTCATCCTAAATTAGCCCACCTGAACTTCTTTATTGTCTTTATACTACTGCTCTGCCAGCTCCACAGGGAGGGGTCAGGGGTGAATAAGTGCCTTTTTAATTATTAACACTTTTTGCAAAATTCTGACAGAGCCAAACCACCAAAAATGACAACTCCCCTGGTCGGAGTCGGATACATAACTAAAAAACAAAAGTTAAAAAACTTCAGCAGATGCACATAAGACCCTGTTGTCTGTCTGTTAACAAATGGTGCTAAATGGGAGTTAAAAGCTCCACATGACCATATCCATACTTTTCGGGGCTGTGCTGTGAAAAGAAAAAAAAAACATAGGGTCTTCTGTTCCTTCAAAAAGGAAGGACAAAGGGCACATTTAATGGATATTCCTCAGTATGTGGCTGATGGAATGCATAGCAAAAAATGCAACTTTTGTCCAGGCAGTTACACATGGCCAGACAGTAAAACGTCCTTCTGACCTTCTGCCTGTCAACTGGTGCTGGAAGCCATCTCAGCAGCTGCACATGCACACATCAGTCTGTGAAACTGCCACACCAGCGAACTGAAGTCGCCATCCAATTAACATCCAATTAACTGTTTCTGAGGCATGTATCACGGAAACTTCCAAAATGTAACAAGACTCCTTATGAAAATAGCTGTTCTTAGAAATACAGAGCTATGGACACACAAACAATGACAATGGTAAGAGGCACAAACAGTACATTCAGGAATCCATTTGCTATGAAGCTTTCAGAGTTTTTTTTTTAAATTTCACTTGGTCAATTTGCTTACGGCTTACGCACGCAGAGCTGAGTTTGCACGGAGATTACACCTTGGGCAGTAAATCATTTTGTGACTCTTACATTCTGCAAGTTTTGGGTTTCTAGGAGCATTACAGTGGGTGGACGTGTGTATGAAAATATATACATTTCTTACCAGCACTGGTGCCTGCACCAGTTGTGAGGTCTGAACCCAAAAGGCCACCTAAGATTAAATGAGAGAAAAAAAAACTGTTTAGGGAATGACTTCTAACTGCTCATTCCAGCCCCTTTTCCAGTGTGTTCACTGCATTACGGCAGGTCTAACCAAGTTATTTCAACAAGTCTTTCCCCACCTAATGACATGCCTGTGTGAGACAGAAAAAATAATCTTTTTGGTTTACCCATTTCCACTGACCGTATGTTCTAGAAATGGCTTCAGTGAGCTGATGACACCATCCAAGAAAAATGATATATTTTTAAAGTCAGAGTCTGTGTGGTTTAGGTATTGCTTTCTTTGCCAAAAATCATATTTAGTTTTGCTCCTGTAATATGAAGCAAATTGCATCAGGAAGCCAAAGATAATCACATTGCTCATGGTGTGGGCATTAGGCAACTGACCAGAAGACAAAATAGAGCTTTCAGACAATACAAACAAACCAGCATAAGGATTGAGCTGGCCACAGATATGTCACAAGAAACTCAGTATATAAAGTGAAATGTCAGGGGATAATGTGTTTTATTAAAATCTCGAAGCGATGTTAACTTCCTTTCAGTAAAATATTAGGCCGCAAAACTGGAAGTTTTAAAAAATGAAAAAAAAAAACTGAAGTATTTCAATTGAATGAGTAAAGATGTCTTGTAATAATTGTAGCCGGAACTAATTTGGAGGAAAATAGAGATGTCTGTTTCTGGGACATAGTTTTGATTATACTGATCAAATGTCTGGCTCAGCGTCGAAAGGCTAGCCCCTTAAACATAGGAGAAAATCAACCAAAGAAACTGCAGGGCAATCGGAACCAAATGGGAGGAAAAAACGTTTCGGTGCTTTGGAAAGCTTTATTTATTTGTAACCATCTGTTAGAAGTACTTCAGATATTGTCAGATGTTTGGAACCATATGCTTCGAATTTCAAAAACCTATCGTTCTTTCTCAGTCAGCTGTGTTTCGGCAGAACAACTTTGTTATCAACAAAAGCGATATCGTTCCGAGCAAAGACACGGGCTACTTCTAATTTCCTTCTGAACTGCCCCATATAAGCAGATGGGGCCCCTTTGTCACTTATCAGGTCTGACTCAATAGCGTAATACGAGAGAGCAGTGAACAGTGTCAGAAAAAGAAAAAAAAAAGAGTTCACTGGAAGGAGGATTCAGAATAAATGGAAGCGAGTCCTTGCACCGTACCTGTGTTGCCTGCACTGGGTGGCCGGTGTGTCCCTCCTGGAGACATGCTGTTTCTCTGAAGAGAGGGGTGGGCCAGAGGCAGGAGACTGTGGTTCCCCAGTGAGCTGCCTGGGTGGCTGTATATCAGGCTGTTGGGGTTGCTCACCGGGATGGAAACTGGCATCTCGTAGTTCGAGGGGGGAACGGCCTACGCAGCAGCCAGGAGGAGGAGAGAAAGAGAGAGCATGATAGCAGAGGTTACAGGACTCGGCAGGCAGGCGGAGGACACCACTCTCCCCGTGGCGGGGAAAGACTGGCGCACAGAGCCGGCTCCTGAGTGGCTCGGGCACGGGAGACAGACAGACACACTTTCGAGCGCGGCCGTGAGCGATCCCAAAGCCGCCGTCACATGGATCCTCGAGGGACTAGGGCGGGACCGGCCGCTTTCAGCCTTGGCAATGTGACAATGCAGGAGTCCTGCGCTCCCAGGTCCACGAAGGGCACAGAAAGGAAGGCGGGAGGATGTGTCCGCTGCAGAAACGGCTCTAGTTTCGCTCTAGTTATTACTTTGGCTCCGTGTAAAGGTCTTTGCTTGCAGCTGAACTCCAGCACTGTGCAAGAGGCAGGCCGACGTGGGTATAAAGCTGCCTTTGTCACAGCCCGAGCAATAGGCCCATGGGAAAGCATGACGCTGGTTTGGACACCAGTTTCTTCAGGGAAGCCTGTCCCTCCATCGACACGTTCTAGTGAGCTCCCTCTTTTAATTCAGCTCCAGCCTGCTGCCCTTTCTCCTTCTATCAGCTTCACTTTCTTTAGACCCCTTTCAGCCCAAAGTAAAAACTGTGGTTTCCTTTCTATTCCTTTATCTGCCTCAGCACACTTGTTGTAAACTCAACCAAAGATGATACATGGTAACAAGCAGAATTATTTCCTCAAAGGAGAAATTAAATTACAACCATATTTAAGACATAAACACTCATTTTTTTCGTTCCTAAGTCTCCAGAACTTGTGAAGTCACACGTATTACACCATTTCAAACATATTTATAGGCTATCCGTCAACACCAAATATTTCTAGACAGATCTGAATTTAATTCTGAAGGCTAAATCTTGCATTGGCTGCTATATTGAGTCAGATGGACCAATTAGCCTCCTCTCTTAACCTTTGATTTGCTTTTGACTCCTTCTTATCGCATTTCTGTTTAGATGAAGGTAAAGTTCCACAGGAGACAGAATTGTAGCGCTGCTCTGGAGAACACCATGCTCCACTGGCACAACTTATCATGTTTATTGGTTGCTCTTGTGCTGCTTTTAACCAGTGAACAAGCTGGACGCTGTCCCTACACAGTGTTATCCTTGGGAAGTACAAATAGCCTTTTAATTGCTGCCATGTGTCCCAGGATCAAGTAAACACCCATCTCTAAGCACATCCAGTGGAAATTTGATCTTCTTCATTTTGCACAAGGCTATGGCCAGTTCTTTCCCTTTGGCTGCGTAAATATTATTTTAAAAGGATCAGCAGTGAAGGTCTCAACACTAGCGGCTTAGCGTTCATTCTTGTTGTTTTTTTTCAATTGCAACCCACCCGGCGGGGTTTCAGTAGCTCTTTAATTACTGCCTGGCTAGGTCTTCCTTTTTTTAACATCTTCCATTTTGGCTGCCTCGTGCACTCTCCCTGCCTGCCTGCCTGCCCGCCTGTGGTTGAGTGGGAGAGAGGATCTGAGAGGAACATACCACGCCTCACATGCGTGGGCTTTCAGTAGGCTGTCATTTAGATGGTGCCATCCTTCCTGCGCGCACTGATCATCTCCAGCTTTGGAATCTGGGAGCCCTGTACTTCGTCGCCACAGTGACCATGCTCTGAACTGCCACTTGCTGTGCCCACAGTTGCCAAGGCCCCTAACACCCTTCCTCCCTGTGACACCCTCACTATCACAGCCACTGGACAGCTGTTCCCCTTGCCTGGGGACATCCAGTTCAGCCATTCACAAGTCATGAAATGAAAGTTATAAGTTCACAGAATAAAAAAAAAATGCAGAAATACGAAACCAAGAATGGTTTCTGTAGCTAAGCTGTAGCCAAGCTGGATTTCACAACTGTAATGAGAAGGGGCCACAGATTTAAATGTTTTGAAAGCACGTAAGGGTTTTTCACAATTAAGCACTACCCTTTTCTTGTTGTCCACTGGAAAATCATGCAAAAGCACAAATTTCAGAACACTTGTCACGCAAACTAAAAAAGTTCAAGCTTGGTGGCTCTTTAAATAGCCTGTTAAATTGCTTCAGAACTGGAGAACTCCACTTCAATCGCATGCAAATGTATAAATAGCATAAATCCAGACAGATGCACTTCACCTCCTTCGGCCATGTTGTGTAGTTCACATGTAGCTGAGGCCAGTAAAGTTGTGTCCAGTTGTCGGCACACATGCACAGCCTTGCACAAGATAGGTAAACGAACCTTGTTAAAGGCTGTGTTAATTGGATAAAGAAGAGTAATCACCAGGGTATGAATGGGAGCACTGCAAGTATGTTCTGAAGATATACAAAAAAACAGCACTGGCAGAATTGCAGCTGAAGCGGTAGTTATTTCTCTTAAGAGCCTGGCAAGGCATAGGAAGAACTGTTAGACAGGAATATCATGAAGGGAGATGTGTGTTAAATGAAGATAAACCTCAGAACAAGGGGACAAGCACTCTGTCGAGGGCTGGGAGAGACTCAGATGAGACTCCCTTTCTGTGCACACAGGGTTAACATTAAATCAGGAACCTCTCATGCAGAAATCTCTGCTTTAACCCTTCCAGTGTGGTGAGCTGTTTAAACTACCAATGCGGGCACGGCATCTTAAGATTTCATGGTTTAAAAGAATGTTACCGTTTGATGTAAATGCTGTTACTGCTCAAATGCATATAATTAGTGATCAATGGATCTCATACATCCAGCAATCGCTGACAGCCTTTTAAACACTAATTACACGGAGGAAAAAAAATGATATCTCAAGAAAAATAAAAACTCTTGGCTTTTCAGAGTACATGGTAATTATCTTCTAGTAAACTGTTTATAATTAAATAGAATTTCATCATTATATACCATATGTGTTCTGAATTATTATGGTGAATACACTGATAATGACCCTAGCATTATAATAATTGCAAATACTAAGATGTAAAATGATTTTCCCCTTTTTTCTGTGTTAAACGGGGCGATTAAAGGTGGTAACTGAGAAACCCACACCAGGAGGGTTAAAAAGGTTACTGCAGCAGCTAGCAGCAGACCAGCTGTTGTGTTTCTCTTTAATACTTACAGGTATTTTATGGGTCTTGATCATATTATCAAACTCTTCGTTAATTTTTTTGTATTTTTCTTCAGTGCATGGGGTGAGAGCGAGAGAAGAGTCATGATCAGGGCTTTCACAGCCCGTACTTTCCTTCTTGCTCAATGCCTGCCAGGTTCGGAGAAATACCAGGAAACAAGACAAGACAGAGAAGAGGAATGAAATGAGGCTCAGGAGTACTTACACACAATCTTTGCCTGCTGATCATAAGATCAATATCTTCATTAATCTTTCTGTACTTGTCCTCAGACTCAGGGCTGTGACCCACTGAGTCGTCTGCATCTGGGTCTGGACTGTCACAGCCATTTAGCCCCTTCTTTCTCAACGTCTGAAACAAACAATTGGTCAAGTTCAGAGGGCTGCTTACATGGGCAGAAAAAAGAGACATGCACCTACGGACAAAAGAAAGGTTACACACAATAGCAGGCCCTTCAACCCACTGAGAGCCCATTGCGGTTTCTAGCAGCTAGACCTCACCCTGCTGTTCCATGAAAGAAACTGAAGATGTCATCAAAAGGCAATCCAGTATTTGAAAATCAACAAGTGGCTCAAATGTGTTAATCTCTCTGTACTTGGCCTCAGACTCAGGAGGGTACTGCAGTCTCCTAAAATGCTGTGAGTCAGTACCGCAGGCACTGTGACACCTTGTATGCACAACTCCCAGATTTGCTTAATGCCACATCATGAAGCAAAGCTGTGGGAAAGTGCAGATGTGTCTCTGAGGAACTGGGGGCCAACGTGAACTCAAGACGTTTTAATCAAGTGCGGTGCGGCGGAACAATACTGGCCAATTTTGGAGAGCAGCAATGATGTGGCGGCTTGCTCCGCTAAAAGATCAGCGGTATGAGAATTTTCTTCAAAACAAAGGCGGAATCCAGAGACTGTGGGAACACTTCCGAGGGTCCCTGGTCACGGAATTGGTCTTTTATGGCAATGTTGACATACTGGGACAGGGAGGAAAGTTTATGAATTGGTGCTCACTGCTTTCTGACCCCCTCACTTTAGTGCACCAGGGTGGGACGGTCTTGGAAAATGTCCTGCAGGGTGCAGGAGGTGACCAGCTGATCAGGTCAGCAGTGGGGTCAGTGGTCACCTCCTGAATGACCCCCCATTTCTTGTGGGTCAGAATGTTGTGCACTTTTTTATTCATGGGGGGGAGGGGGGGTCAACTGCATTTTCCTTATTAGGTAATTTGGTTGGTTACCAGTTCAACATGTTTACATTTTTAATACTGTGAACCTTTATTCAATTACACTAGGGCTCAGTGGGATTTCTCTCTCTCTAAACTACAACTATTTTATTATTATTTAATGAGATTTGATTTAGTGGTATTTTGATACTGCAAAGTGCTAGGCTAATTGAAAGAACAGAACAGTTTTTACTGATATTGCTATAACACGGTGAAAACTGACAGACATAAAGCATTCTGAAATAAAATTTAAGAAGATATTTGTGACTTCAGCCCCCAACTCCACACTTAATTTTAGAGCCCAAAACAAACTTCATCCATTAAAAGAAATCTGTTGGAAAAAGTAAGAGTCTTTTTTGTAAGAAAACACAGAAGAAAACAAAGAGGGAAGGTAATAAATATAAAAAGTGAAATTAATTCAAAGACTAAGTAAGTAAGTGTGTACTTGCTTCTGATTTCTAATCTTTCCAATACAGTTATTCTCTTTTAGTACAGGAGTCCCTAAGCTTTCTGTAAACGGCAGTTTCTAATTTAGCCACCTGATGGCCACATTCTGGTAGAAATCAATGCTTCAGCAGAAGACCTGCTTTCCTGTCTCCCAGGGAAATTAATCTTTTTCAGTTTTTTTTCCTTCACCAAACCTATTTTTTTTTTACACGTAGAATTTGTTGTACTGGCTGTACATCCAAAATGCTGACATATTCTGCTATGAGATCACGCACGTCAGAGGAGTTCAAGCTGTATGTACGTGTTTTATTCTGTATGAAGGGATGAAAGAGACCAGATAGTTAGATGTTTCATCAAAGCCTCCTTTTTCCAGATTGACTCACTTTAATAAAAGGGGATTAGTGTAGGGGAATATTATCGGGCTGCTACTGTCTAAACAGTGATTGCTTCACATTATACTAGAGGCTTTCATGTGAGTGTTGTCTTCAGACTACAGTAATTAAATTTACTTTAGAACAGCCTGTATTTGATCTGAAATGAATGAGAGAAGCCAGACAGGTTATTCTCTCTCCTCCTTAATCTTCTAATTTGTGCAACGCAGTCCTAATAATTAGAAAATATATATATATACTTAGTCATCTGGATGAGACTGAAATGAATGCATCTTGCATCTTTGCATTTAGTATATAATATACTGTATGATTAATAATTCAGTTAATCTTTCAGTTAAGATTTTACCAATCAAAACCTATTTTCCAACTAACAGCTCTGCTTCCTATGTGTTCTCAGAGAAAAGTGAGACAAAGGTTGGTCAGTATATCAAAGTTGATGACCTTTAGTCTCTTTGATTTATTAGGTCTTTGCCAGATGACATGACATACAGTATATCACGTCCCACAGCAGTTTTATGACGGAGAACCGAGAGCTTTAAAAACCCATGCCTCTGGATCACTATGTGGGTCTAAACTTTAACGAGAAATTGGCTGGCAGGGACAGTTGGCAGATCTGAGGGCATACTTTCGAAGCTTGCCAGATAAACGGGTTCACAAATACTGCCCTGCCTCCCTCCTGACAGGATCGCATTTCACAGCTTTCTGATAGAGAACTCCGATAGCGAGACGCCTGGCTTGCCTGTCGCTGCGGGGGGGGGGG